AAAAAAAACAAACGATAAAAGAATATAAGTCATAAAAATCGAAATGGTTAGGGGATGTTTGAACTACTAAATCATTTAAAGGAAACAAAACTTGTTGAATTGGGTATTTCTTTGAGTATATTCTAACCAATTGAATGATTAAAACTTTAGGAATATCACTGATAGTTGAATATATTTTAGCCTTTCTTTTTTTGTTGCATTTTTCACAATACCAATCATCTATATTTTCATAATGAAGAAATAATTCAATACAACTCTCTAATGAAATTGGATGTGTTTCATTTGAATACCATTGAGGTACTGGAACTGATAAAGAAATAAATTCCTCAAAAATCTCTGAACTATAATGACACATTGAACATTCAGTTACACGTTTAATTCTTCCTTTAAAAACATCACTAATAAGATTTTTTGAAAAATAATAGTCTGAAGATGAGTCATCAGATTCAGTCTCATTCATTTCAACTTCAAATGGAGAATAATATATTTTTGAAGGAGAATTTTCATGAGAATATGTCTTTATTGTTCCTCTACAAGGAATTGGTGTGAGAAGGAGTGGTGAAATAGAAGAAGAGAAATTATTTATATCTTTTGTGTTTAATTCGTTTTCTAACATTTCAAGAAAGATTAATAAAAATTCATGTGCATCATTTTGTTCCTTTCCTTCATATTGTGGATGTGTTTCTGATACAATGTCTTTGATTGCTAAAGAAGTTACAAATCTATAGTTTCCTGACCAGATGGCATTTGTTAAATTGATAAATGCATTTAGAAGAGAGCCATGATATACTGACTTATCTCCTGCTCTTCCTTTAATTGGGTTGTAGTGATGAAAACAATACGACCGAATTTGTTGAGTGTTAGCTAGAGACTGTAAAACTGAACTGATAAAACAAGTATTTCCTAAATTTCTAATTCCACAAATTGGATAATTTGAAAAGAACTTCTTGACATGGTCATCACGAGGGGAGAATAATCTTCCCACATATTTACTCATTCTCTTATATACAATAGTCATTTCATTTTGAGTTTATACACAAGAACACTTTCTATTGAGATTGATGTCTAAGTATCAATCTTGAGATTAAATAATGAGAATTAATTACTTTTAACTATTCAAATTTGTGACACTTTCAAAAAAAGTTGTTTAAATGGTAGAAACCAAAAACTAGTTAATGAATATGACGTGCAAGAGCATCAACCAAATTATAAAAACCATTTAATGTTAATGGATCAGATAATAAAACATTACATAACATCCCATAAGAATATGAAAATTGAAATGAAATTAATCCATCAGAAATTCTTTGAGCATTTATTTTAAAGGATACTAAATCTGGAGAGTCTAAATCAAATGTTGTTTCTTTCTTTCCTTGAAGAATTCTTAGTCTTGGAACACCGTTTTCTACAAGAAGTTAATAAGAAATGATAGGAAATTAAATAAATAAGAATTGGATAAAATAATGAACAACCTTCACAATATAATACTTTTCCTTCCTTTTTATTTATACGAGAACCTAACCTACCTGGATAATCAATCATTACTTTACATTCAGAATACGGCTCAGCCATTGAAAAGAAATCAAAGGATTTTTAATTTTCAAATTCTTTTCGTCTTCTTCCTTATTTTTTATTAAACACAAACCCTATAACAGTATTTTTGTTAATAGTTGAATGAAAATTAAACAATTAACCACACTAAAAATTGCTGTTGTAATTGCTCTCAGTTGTTATACTTTAATTTATAGAAAACAATATGTTATGAAAAATTACATTACTCCATTATATTTGCTTGGATATGGTATTGATTTAGTTCTTTCAATAATTGCTCATTATTCAATAAAAAGTAAATTCTTTCAACAATTCAAGTTTGTTTTAATAGGTTGTTATTTTGTTCTAGTTTATTAATAATATGTTGATGTTTAGATGTTATAATGATGATACCACAGTGATAGAATTTCATTGTTTATTAATGAATGTTTCACTTTCATTCTTAGCTACAAGAAGTCATTCTGCAATATACATTCATATAATATGTTTATTACTCGTATTTCTTTTATCTATATCAATTTTATGTAATGTTCAGTTTATGAGATTTAAAGTCCCATTTACATATTGTGAATTTGGAACACATATTTCATTACTTCTTCTTTTAATTTTTGTTCAACAACCTCAGTTCTTTTTAGCACCATCAACAATTCAATCATTTATAAAAAATTATCCTTCAATAATAATAATGTGGATTTTTTTAATTGTATTAATGATAGTAATTGCATTTATTCCACACCAACCAATGTACGTTTCGGTGCAACGTAAATCATTTCATTTTATTGCTGCTTTAATCTATACAATTGGAATTCGTTCAAATGCTTTATTCTTATCGGTTCTTAGTAACAACCTTGTAGTTCTATTTGTTATTCTTGATTTTCTTAGAATTAAACTCGCACCAACTGGTATTCTTTCTCAACTTTTCCAACGATACAGAGATTCACATCAAGACCCAAATCTTTCATTCGGATTTCCTGCTTTTCTTTTATTATATGTGAATACTTTACCATTATTATTATTTAGAGGTCATTTTCATTGTGCAATTATTTCTTCTATAATTACAGTTGATATAGGTGATGCGTTTGCAGCAATTGTTGGAAGTTATTGTGGTAAATATTTTCCTATAACTCGTTGTGGAAATAAAACATTAATAGGAACTCTTTCCTTCATAATTACATCAATTTTCTTTGGAATGATTATCAACACATACATCCCATTATATTTATCATTTAATCAACTGGTTTTAATTTCAATCACTTCAGGATTAATGGAATTAACTTGTGAAAATGACAATTTGATTTTACCATTCTTTTCTTT